AATGTCATCGTTCAACATGATCTCAATAGCTACTGCATATGCTAATGCATCGTCGATTATCATCTTATTTCTACACAAACATCATCCAAGCAAACATAATGGATTGAAATCTCTCAATTCTCATGAGGTGGTTTGGTCTCTTCAAGAACGCTTCCGTAATCTAGAATTTCCTCATGAGTTGGATAGAATGAGTAGGTAACAGTCGAATTGATGGTAGGCCCAACAACCGATGCCATGGGTTTCCTCTTCTAGGGGTGTGAATCCTTTGAACCAAGAGGTCTGCCATGCTTTTGTGTAGAGGTAGAGGATTTGCTAGCTGCTAATGTACGTGGTTCGTCCAAGATGTCTGAAACGATCATACCAAAGTGTAATTTCGTGCGCAGTCCCTGAGGTAAAGTCGGCCACATAGTGGCTCTCTATAGGGCATATGGTTGTAGTATACAGACCACTCGGGATACGCTCCATCTTCTCTAGAATACGCTTCTGGCCATATTTGTATGAAGTGATGCACAAAAATTTAACTTCGTTTTCTACATAGGTTTCAGCGTAGTAGCTATTGTCTAATTATTGTCTCGAATATCTTTAACGCTTAACAACGTTCTTCCAGAACGTGAAGAATAAAGTGCCTCTTGAATGGTCAAAATAGTGCCATTGGACAACATTATATGAGCCTTTTCGTATCCTTTGATCAGGTTGGATAGACCTGAAAGGGTTGTCAGAGGTGCATTCTTAAGTATGAAGTTAGTCAAATAAATGCGTTCACGCAAATAGTGTGCGTGGTTGCACTATTTGCTAGACAACTACCTATGCCATTAGCCATACCTAGAATAAGATTAATTGAACCAGTCACATGCATACAAGTTCAAAAACTTAAATCCATTCAATTAATTTTTTTCAAGAAAAGTTTATGAACATCAGGTTCATAGTACCCGCAAACAAACGCATATATATACAAAAATATGCAACAAATATATACAAGTAGGTCTTCGAGGCCTATGATTATAATTGAAATAATTATTTGGACTACAGGCCAAAATTAAAGTTTGGGTAAAAAAATTAAAACACTTAAGGCCTAAAAAAATAGGCAATATAATCGATGGTCCAAAGCATTGGACCAAAACCCTAATGGGCCTTTAAAAACTGTGAAAAGGAGTGGGATCCAATCCCAAAAAAAATGGGCTGGAATGGTCACAGGCCAAGAGTCAAGAAGCAGGCCCAAAACTGGGTAAGATATAACAGCCTGCTTCGCAAGCACGAATGCACCAATGTGTGGTTGTGATTGGGTGTGGAGCGGTGCAGGGGAACACCACAGCCATACGGGGTTGTGATCATGTGCTTCACAGTGCACTGAGAAACCATAGGTCATGCAAGTTGAGCCAAAGTAATGGGCCGTTAAAGGCGAGCCCAAAGGAAGAATAAAAAAAAAATTGTTCTTTTTTTTTTTTTCATGCTGAGAAGAAACCAAGGCCTAACTGGGCTCGGGTTTCAGTCTAAGAACACCCCAGCTTCGCTGGGTATGGTCACCGAGGAAGATGGTCGGCGCCGCCGCTTCAGGCAACTGTGTTTTGATCAAATTACTCGGAGCAAGTAAGGTTTGACGTGGAACCTGGATGGTGTGATGGAGAAAGAAAATCTCGATGTCCATAAATAGAAAACCCTTGGATTTGAATTGGGGTTTTAGAAATCCGTGGAGATATCTTGACCAAAATCATGGTCGATGACGATTGCAAGTCGACGACTGCAGGTTGTTAGAGATGGCAATCGTGATGACTGACCATGGCTACGGGCCATATGTGTGGCGCCGTGAAAGGCGTTAAGATTTTGAGTAGGTGGACGATGTCAAAACGACGTCATGGCTCGAGGTCGCTGCTCAGTGTGGATTCTAGAACCCTAATTTTCTTTCAATTCAATTCATGCATAATCAAACTATAAAATTAATGCATGAACATATATTTGATTCAATTCATGTTAATATCAATTCACATAATTCAACAATTATGAATATAATGCATACAAAAATTATGTAGAATCTAAAATCTGAAAAACGTAAAGTTGGTTATGCACTATGGTGAATGTTCATGTTATCAAGGCTGTAAAAATATCGAGATAAAAACTGTTGTTTTAGAAGAACCTAATTGCATGATGGTATTGATGAATTGGTTTGATGCCGAAAAATCTTTCTTCAATTTTAGCTTTCCATCTCCAAAGCTTGTTTCACGTTCAACACAAAAAACTTAAATTAAATAAATAAAAGCATATAAATCAATATAATCAATTAAGAATAATTGAAATGTAATAGTCCTGTGATTGAAGACGAATAATTTTCAAGTTAGATTCCTAAGCACAGCGGTAAAAGCATGTTGATAACATGTTGTGGCTTATTTTAATCTGACAAGGGAGAGAGATGACACACCCCAACACAGAATGTTCGCTAGGATTCCGAATCGAGCTGAGCTGGCCGAGACCTGAAAGGTGACAAAGCCATAAAGTGTAGTGATGTGGAAAATATGAATAAATTTAAACCTAAAAGTGTCTAAATATAAGAGTGCGCTGTGAGCAAGAATGAACCCATTTCACACGTGATTATAGAGCATACGTAAAGTACAATAAGGTAAGATAAGGATTATACCATCATAGGTAGCCACCTATACTGGGATATGCCAAGAATCCTCGTCGATACGAAAGCTCAGCTGCTAAAACCTGGAAGGGCGAAAAACAGAAAACGTGAGTGGGCAAAAACAAAGCTTTTTAAAACCATTTCTCTTTCCAAAAATAATAACCCTTCACCGTAAAACCCGTATAATTTCCCAGAAAATAGTAATACATACGTATGTAGAAATCATGCTCAAGAGTAGGGAAAACCAAGTATATGCCATGTCAAGTATCTCAACAATGAAATAAGTAAGCCAAGTGAAATAAATCAATGTAAACTAATATGTCAGTTGGAGTCACCTAATGTGACCTGTACGATTGAGCCTATAGCTCATCTACCAATTCCTGCACATGAGTCGGAACCACCTAATGTGGTATGTACGACATGCTGGGTGTAAATAGATACGCTTAAGTGCTACGATCACGTGAAGGATGTGCGAAGTATCACAAGTCACCTACAAGTCGGAACCACCTAATGTGATATGTACGACAGGTTGGCACATGCCTTGGATCCAAGGTGAGCGTGTGGTGCAGGAAGTGAACGATCACATGAAGGCTAGCCCTGGCCTTGGGCGGAGCACTAACACCGGAGTGCAGGATAATGAGCACTAAATGCATCTAAACATAACCATACACACTGCAATTATTATCATCAATGTGCACTCGCCTAAAGCTTACCTGGGCGTCCGCAGCGTCATGCAATAATATGCATATCTATACTAATGCATATACTAAAATGTAATGCAATTGACATGGCATTTAAAAACGTCAATCCATTTAAAACCAGTTTTTGGAAATTGTAAAGCATATATACATATATATAGAAAACAAAAGCCCACTTATATAGAACATGACGTCAGGTTGAACCCGCCTCGTGGCCTTTGAAGATCCTTGCAATGGTTTCACCTAGAACCGAAACCATTATATAATTATGTATAACATATTAACGTATAAACGAGTTTTCCGGATTTCTTTTCATGCTTTTCCCCTAACTTTAGGAGCTCATTTCAAGCTCAATTTTCAACCAAATTCAATGATTCAAAAGCCAACTAGAAGCTAGGAATGTGAGAAACATGTTTGTACCACTTTGAAGTCGAATAGTAGCTGGAGTTGACCGGGGAAATGGTCAGAAAGTGGCCAAATGGCCACGGGTCCAAGTTTTCAAGAATCTGGGAAATTTCATCCCAATTTTCAGAGATAAATTTCTAGCTCGATTCTCAATCAAATTTGATGATTCAAGAGCCATATTAAAGCTAGAAGCATATAGAAAAATTCCATACAAATTAGAGCCGATTTTATGTCGGTGTTGGCCGGAAAAATGACCTAAAGATGGTCAGATGGTCACAACCAAAATTTCCAGAAATCTGGAAATTTCTTCCCAACTTTCATAACTAATTTCTAGTTCGATACTTAACCAAACTTGATGATTCAAAATCCATTTTGAAGTTAGAAATATATAGAACAAGACCATACCAAAGTGGAGTCGAGACATTGTCCGAGTTGGCCGGAAAAATGTCTTGAAAGTGGCCAGATGGCCACTGTTCCTTGCTCAAAATCTGGGTGTTTCCCAAGAGGTTTTTCTGCATTAACTCTACCAAATCGCATTTTGAATGTTAAAGACCGTATCAGGAGTTTAAAAACGATAAAATTTGAGTTTGAGGGCTCCCGAGGCTTACCTATGGTCGGAAAATCGAAAACTCGCCGGCGTTGGGTTCACTAAATGGTGATGCTCTGTCTCCATGCCGCCTTGACCATCCCCTTACCCACGTGGCAGCCCGTGAGTGGTCTAAGGGTGGGATAAAAAAATCTCCACTTGTGAAATTACCGCAATGCCCTTACATTCAAAAATTCGTAAAAGCTTCGTAATAACTCTGAATTCGATTCCAATCGCGCCTACGCGTTCGTACTATCGAGTACTTCAAGAATACGTTAAAAAAAATTTCATACGTCTCACTATACATTGGTCAACGAAAGTCAATACTCTCGCCTCTAGGGTATTTTCGTAAATTCATATTTTTAAAATTTATAAAATCGTAGAACTAAGGACGGGTTATCACAGAGAGGCGCAAGAGAGAGAGAGAGAGAGTAGGGAGAGAGATGTATTTGTAGGATTGTATAGAGGATGTGTTATTCTTCCTCTGCAGTGTTTTTATTTATAGCAAGAAATACAAGTAGTAATAAGAAAGAAAATTAGTATTAAATCTAATCTAAAATTTACACAATCGCACTTTAATACAATGTTTATAACAAGAATGATAAAATGAAATAAATTGAGCACCAGGAAAATATTTAATTAAAAAACAAAGTGTCCATATCAAAACCGACCTAAAAAGAATAATTCATACCGCCGTCAAAACCGAAGCAAAAAGCTCTTACTTTCAGATCGATTAACCAGGAAAAAAAACAAAACAAAAAACTCAGTGAAATGGAGGTGTACGGGCAGGAAGTGGTTCTGATAACTGGGTGCTCGGAAGGGGGGATAGGTCACGCACTGGCACGCGCGTTCGCTGCAGAGGGTTGCGTGGTGGTGGCGACGAGCAGGTCAGTGAGATCGATGGCGGATCTTGAAGGGGACTCGCGATTTTATTTGCAAGAGTTGGACGTGGTTTCCGAGGAGAGCGTGGAGAGGGTGGTGTCGAATGTGTTAGAGAAGTACGGCCGAATTGATGTGGTGGTTAACAACGCTGGGGTTCAGTGCGTTGGTCCAGTCGCTGAGGTCCCTCTCTCTGCTCTCCAGCACACTTTTAACACCAATGTTTTCGGTACTCTCTCTTCCAATCTTTGATTTATACTTGCTGATTGTCTCTCCTCTTCGTTCATGTATTGTCATATCATTCTTGTTTCCTGTCGTATTGGGGTAATATAAACTCGGTAAGTGATGTTTGCGCACCGGTTTTTTACTCTTGTTTGCTTTTGTCACTCGGTTTTATTTTGATTTATTCAATTCAAATGTCAAAAATTAACAGGTTATACACTGGTTGAAACGAGGTGTGTGGAAATTACTTTGCTATAAGCTAGTTTATGGATGGATAATTACATTGTTTTTCGCTCAATTTGTGTAAGAGGGAGCGCAAATGTCACTTGGTGAAGATAATCTTAAACTTTTCATGGCACGGAACGTCATGGTTCTTGTGCATCCATGCCATGGAAGTTTTGGAGTGGTGCAAAGTACAATTAACCCTTCCTCTAATTATGCGAGAAGTAGAAGGAAAAGGTATTGGTGTCATGTGTTAGCATGGAGCTAAAATGGATACGTGAAGTTATGTGGCTACAAATATTATGAATGTTTTCTTCATCTTGTTTCTCTATTAGTCCCGGTTCCTATAAGCATAACAGAACTGCAATCATAGTTATGCATCTTCTGAAATCTCATCTTCTTAACCGTTGCGAGTGCATATACTCAAAGGAAAGGGTGTATAAGCATTACAGATTTCAATCATCTATTAGTGTCAATACAACGGTGTCATCGCGCTCCAGACTCCTATATAAGTCATATTGGATCATTCTTTCAACAACATTCATCTTCTTTTGATTTTTGTATGCAATACAACAGCTTGTAAACTTAAATATGCTGATTTCGGAATATGCATTGCCTCCGACAGACTGCAAATTATATATCACAACTCAGGAAGATTACGTTGCTAATCTCAATGATAATACAAAATTAGTCATTAGTCATTTCATTCTTGATCAAAGTTGTGCAGATGGATAGCATGAGTGCTTTTTGTAAACATGATGTTATGCTATTGCTTAGGTTCCGTGAGGTTGATACAAGCTGTTATCCCCCACATGGCATCAAGAAGAAAAGGAAAGATTGTAAATGTTGGAAGTGTTACTGTTGCGGCACCTACACCATGGGCTGGTGCTTACACGGCATCCAAAGCTGCTCTTCATGCACTCAGTGATTCTTTAAGGTTTGTGTTTTGTGTTGTGTTATGCTCGGTAATGAAGTTTTGTTTACAAACCTCGTACTAGCAACAAAATAGTTCCTAGTTAATGAAACGTTTTGATTTTTCTGGGATTTCATCTGAAGATATCATTGGTTTGTGGGGAATAATGTTAAGATATGTAGTTGTACTTCTCTTTAAAATCTTCCCAGTTGACCTACACGTTGGCCACATGAATTTGTCCAATTTTGTACAGCTTTGTCGTCTTATATTGTTTTATTTCGCCTCTTTATGGTTCTAACCATCCTCAAAATATCAATGTTTACTAGAATGGAACTGCGGCCCTTTGGAATCAGTGTGATCACGGTTGTACCTGGAGGAATTAGGTCAAACATCGGACACGCTGCTTTAGCCAGCTACAACCAGATGCCCGAATGGAAGTTATACAAGCCTTTCGACGCAGCAATCTGTGCTAGAGCCACTCTCTCACAAGGTCCTAAATCAACCCCTACAGACGAGTTTGCAAAGAAGACTGTGGCTGCCATTCTGCAGAAGAATCCGCCAGCTTGGTTCTCCTACGGTCACCTCTCTACCATTTTCGCCATCTTATATCATCTGCCACTCTTCGTCAAAGATTTTGTATTGAGGAAAGCAATGAAATGTTGACTTGTTACTTATTATTCTGGTTGTTTATATATCTACACTTCGTGTCTGCGTTTATCATTTGGTTACAATAACTACCCAGGATTGTTGTAAGAAAACCTACAATTATAAGTTTATATCAGATCCGCAAAGGGAAAAATTGAGAGATGAAACGCGACACCAAAATGAATAAACAAAAATTTGATCTCACTACAGAATGCTTTTCCTCAAAATTTCACTTTGGTTATATCGCCTACCTGAATTATTTAAACCTCACATTTGTTACACTGTCTACCTAAGTTATCAAACTCACTGAGAGTGATGAGGATGAGCATAATACACCATTCCGGGTGGCTGCTGAAGTGGCCGGAAACTAGGAGCGGGTGGAGGCGGCTGAGTTAAGGGTATTGGTTGCTGCTGGCTATTTTGTACAGGCTGCTGATTCATTTGCAGTGGCTGCTGAGCCAAAGGCACCAGTGGACTCACCATATGAGGTGGGGGAGGTGGTGGCCCTAGAGGCAAATGTGGAATGCTACCATAACCATATGGGCTCATGACCCCTCCTGACGGCTGTAAATATTGTTGAGATGGCGGGTTTGGAAGCATGTGAAATTGACCTTGAGAGGTTGGGGCTTGATTCTGCGGTGTGGGAACCAATGCTGATTGGTATGAATGGTTTGGCTGCACAGAAGGCGCTTGTGATGACATAAAAACATTGGCATCCGAAACTGGCACTGACCTCTCAGGTTTGGATATTGAATCGGTGCCCGGCGTAGACGTGGAGGGCTTTGTCAGACGAGCATTCTTCGCTTCTTCAGCAGCAAATGTTGAAAGAACAGAAGTCATAATCAATTGAGAAGAACTTGAAGCAGCAAGCTTGTCTGCAACCAAAGCTGCAATGGCTGCAGCTGATTTCCTAGGTGTTTGTCCGCCTATAGAATTTCCATCAGTGGAAGGACTGGTCGCACTTGATGGTTTAAACACATAATCTTCATCATTGAGCCGCTTCCGCATGTTGGTGGCTTCTTCTGCCTGTGCCTGTGCTACCTACAGTCATCAAAACATAACATATCAACTTCGGAGTTGGGATACCTTGCACTATTGTCATAATAATAAAGCTAACTAATGGTGTTCCAGCTATCTGTACCGACTGCAATCAACCACTAATGACAGAGAAGGACTCATGTTCTATATACTTTGACACAATACGACAAAAACCATGTGTAAAATAATTTCAACATCAAATAAACTGAGGGGACAAGATAGTATGCTTTAAGGAACATCAGCATGTCAACTGTTTTTATATACTGGATGATTTGCACGACCTCATAATCACAACCAAGGTTCTGAAACTAGCCTGAGATCAGTGCAAAGCTTGCTAACACGATATTTTAGAGAACCTTCAAGAATGGGACTTGAATGCATCTATTACCACAAAGGTCATTGAAAACTTGAAATGATGCAATCGGACCTGGCCAGCTATAAACGGGCTACATTTGGGTGATTTCCAAGTCCAACGGAATTGACGGCCAGGTAGTAAGAAATAGACTACAAAATTAGATAAGAGGGGATTAGATATGCATTTCATGAGTATTGCAAGGGCATGTGAGAGGGATTTGAAAATGACTACTTGGAAGGAATCATTTACAAATCCCTCATACATGCCTTTGTAATTCACATGGTGAATTTCTAATCCCCTCTTACAATTTGTAGTCCATTCCTTACTAGCTTGGCCTCAACCCCTTGAAACTTGAAAATTCCTCACCCAAACATAGCCTACATGTTGCGCCCATGAACAGCTAAACAGGTTATGACTTGGAGTACACAACAAGAAAACAGGTTATGAATTGGAGTACACGACAACAAAGTTCTTTCACACAACAGTATCAAGAGCAACGAGAGAGCCAGCCATCATTACACAAAAAAGTCCTAATGTCAAAATTCTTCTCCGTAGTTGATTGCTCTAGAGGGATTTGGTGTTTCTCATATTTTACAAGAGATGCTTACTTATAAATCTGATCATATTAGAGTTCACCAAGAAATACTTGGTCCTACAATCATTGGAGGAACGATACCTAAACCTGAGGATGCTCTAGAATCATTTCAATTGCTCGCTCAAGAACTACGATAACTCTTCAAGTCGTTTAAGATTGAAGGCAAGCCATGTATTAGAAAAGAAAAATCAAGGCAAGCCACTGTAATGGAAAGACGAAAGCCCATTAGAATGTCACTTTCTTGCTTTAGGAAGTGTGGCAGTAAAACACTTGGTCCAGATTATCTCAGAGAATGCCGGAGATCAAAACTCACACCAACCAAATGAACAGTTCCAAAAGAAAGGAACTGATGAGAGGTTCTATCCTGTTTTCATTTCCGTCTTCTCAGAACTTGCACCTGCCTGTGGAAGAGGACAGTAACTCGTGTTCATTATTTTGGGTGCTACGCAGCTCATAAATGAGTCCTACACATCCACCCATTTATATTACCTCTTAATTGGACTTGAATGATCAACCAATTCAGGTACATGACCTCAATTCGGTCTAGGAAATTTAGCTGCCGCTTCTTGTAACAGTTCTGGTGGTCAACTGGATGCTACCTTATGACATAAGAGGTTTTCTAGCATTCTAAAACATGAAAATGCAATGTCCCACAGATCCATCAAACAATCTCCCAAGAAATACTATACAAGCAAAAGCAATATTCTAAACTAGCGCAGTGGATTGAAGAGGAAGGCCCCTAACTACCAAGGTAATCCACAACGTGCCCCAAGAAATACTATAGAATCGTGATCAAATGGTGAAATTTATAATATGCTAATATTCCCTTCTCTTAAAAACTTTTCTTTTTGTGGTCTGACATCTCTTAAAAACTTAATAGATGAAAAGCAGAAAACACAACTTTTTAAAAAATATAATTATTAGAGGCATACCTGCATATGAGTTCGAACGTTCTCCAGTTCAGATTCCTGAAAAGATAAATGATTCTACGAAGTCAGCAAAAGCATAAACCATGAAACAAAGGGTCTTGTTTAAGAAGCACAATATTCGTGCTTATTTGCATGCTTCAGTATTGAAAACATACTCAATAATTAAAGAAAATAATGGTATGATTGGATACCTGTTCATGCAGAGCTTCTTTTAATTGAGATACAAGTGCTACTCTACTTGTTTCAACTAATTTAAGTTTATCGATACACTGCTTCAAAATATTTTCTTCCTCCTCTACTTCTTTTGCTAAAGTTTTCCGCTTTGGATCTTTTGCTGAAGATAAAAGAAAATATGCATCAGAAACAACAATCTTAAAAATCAAGGCAAGATTCCATTAAAAGGATGTAATTTGGAAACAGCTGACAATATATCCTGTCAATTACTCTAGTTAATACCATAAATGTTCACTGTATAGAATTGTTAGTTTACCATTAGTACAGGCAATGTCAACATCTTTCTCCAACTTCCTTACTCGGTGAGCTGCAGACTTGCATTTACTCATCTCAGCATCTTCAGTGGGATGTTCACTGATCACCAAGTGAAATGCGGATACAATCTTCTCAGCTGGGCCTCCAATAGAAAGTTTCTATTTTCCAAATAACATGAAGTTAGAAATCTTTCAACAAGCACAAATGTACAAGCAAAATATGTGTCAAATTGAGCAAAGACTTATTTAAACAGAGATGGTAGTCCAAAAGAAATAAAATGAAGCAAAATGAGAAAAGTAAGAGCAGGCCCTTTTTCTCACCGTTCTGATAGAGCGTGAATCTCTTTTTACATTCTGACTGAACGTAAGCGCTTTTTGCCACTGAGTTCCAATGGTGGAGGCAGTTCTTCCCCAAGCATTAGTTCTTTGAGGCTCCTTGTACGAGACCCAAATACTCGTCTCTCTTCCCAAATACCAACCTATCAATTTTGTAAGCGACAACAAAGTTAAGCCATTCTGCTTTACATATTAAAAGAGAATAATAACCAGTTGGTCAAATATTCTTAAATTGGTTCGCATATATAAAATAGCATTCCTTACGCCAGGTAAAGAGGAAGGGAAGAAGATTTAAAAGAGAATACTGACCAAACCCATTACCCAACTCCAAATTCCAGAACTTGAATTTCAATTACAGTTACAGGTCATGCTGTTAGTGTCTGGGTTGGTTATATGAAACAAAATCAAAGGAGGGTCTTACTAATCTAGATACAACTTTCTTTCCATGATCATCGCCTTGCTCATGAACAACTTTGAGAGCTGCTGGAAGAACCTTCCAAAACTCAGCAACAAATTCATTTCCTTTCCGCTTACTGTTCTGCAGGATGTCATTTGCAAGATACAAGAGAGGAACTTTCTGAACCATCTGTGCACTATGGAATTGTTTATCCCATGTTGCAACAACCAGTTCTGCTTTGCTCCGGTGAAATATGCACCAATGCGACAAAGCTTATTACAAAGTCAAGGCAACACAGACATTAAGCATCACTTCCTCAAAATTCATACAAGATAACAAGAAATATACACCTGGATATTGTTCTAACTCATCCTTTAAAAAAAAAAAAAATTACAAAAAGAAAAGTGTTCTAATCAAATCAACAATATATACATTTGTTCACAACTCATTTCATCCTTTGCTGCTGAAGCATCATCCCACCAATCTTGAGAGGCAAGTTAATGATACCGATAGGGTTAACTGAATGGTGTTGTGTGCCTACTTTGTCTAACTATCAAACCATCTCGTTGAACCACTGAACAAGTTGAGAGTGGAGTCGCAATAAATTTGGGAAATTAACCTTTATTCGTTTATAGCAGCAACTCAGAATTTAGTGTCAGCTATTGTTTACATTTCGAACTTTAGCAACCTACGTCAAAAGAGAGATAACTCAAAGTGTAACCCTATCAAGCAAGCATAACCGAAACAGAAAACCAGAAAAGCCAAACTACCAACTCCAGAGATATGTTAATTCATCAGTTAGGTCAAATAACAAGAAAGTATCATTCAGAGAAAATTAAAAGGGCATTGTGAAATCTTCGAACGAAATAAATAAAAGAAAAAAAAAGGATACTTTCAATGCATTGCTGGGTGCTGTTGAGCTTGGAGAGCTTGTCTGCAAGTATCTGCTCACTGAATACACTATTCATATCCTATTCCAGCAATGCACTTTCACTACCCACCCCTCCAACAATTTATACAAAACAAAACGCCCCAAAAATCATTCGAAAACAATAAAAATCTTTGCACAAAATTCAGAATACCCCACAAATTTTTCAACTTTAACCCTAAATTCGATGACGAAAGAGCTCCAGTTAGCGAAAGGCAGCAAGAGGATTGGAACAAATGTAGAGGAAGAGAGAATCAGAGATGAGAAATGTTGCACTGGGGAATACGACTGCGTTGAGCAAAATTATAGAATGCCGAATTTTTATGGGAGGTTAAAGCGGGATTGATTTATAAAGAGAAGAAATGCTGAATTTGCAAAACCCTAGAAACGGTTTTCTATTTTTTAGTTGCAGGTCCCAGGCCAAGAAAAACGTTTCAAAGACGGAGTTGATGATAAAAAAAGGTCCCCTTTTTTTTTTTTAATTTTTTTTATTATTTATTTATTTATTTATGGGGTGTTAGTGAGTTATGGGGACATTTGGCGCAATATTTTGACTTTTTGTTGAGGGAAGAATTGAGGTTTTGCCTGACGGGATGTGCTATCCACATTTTTTTTTTTTTTACTTTTCACATTTTTTCTGAATTTTCGGTCGTCGAAAATGAATTGAAAAAAATCAAATGGCAAAAATTAATAAGAAGTGTGTGAGAAATAAAATAGGATGTGTGGGTATCACACCCTTTGTCTGAAACTCACACAACTAAAAATAGATATTCAAACAACTCACTCATCCCCTTCGATTCACTTTCTCTTAACAACTAACTATTTAACTTACTAATGTTATTGTTTTATTAAAAAAAAAAATTTAATTTAAAAAAAAAAAAAAGCGAATCTCTAAGTTGCTGATCACGCTACAATTTAATGATATTCTTTTTCAATTTAAGTAAAAGGATTTAAATTCAAATATCATAGATGTAACATCCCACATCATCCAGGGGAGTGGATCCTGTAAGCCTTATATGTATATTCCTATCTCTACCTAGCACGAGGTTTTTTGCGAGCTCACTGGCTTCGGGTTCCATCGGAACTCCGAAGTTCAGCGAGTTCGCGCGAGAGTAATTTCAGAATGGGTGACCCACTGGGAAGTTCTCGCGTGAGTTCTCAGAAACAAAACCGTAAGGGTGTGGTCGGGGCCCAAAACGGACAATATCGTACTACGGTAGAGTCGAGCCCGGGATGTGGTGAGGACCCAAGTCGGGAAGTGACAATAGATGCAAAGTTTGATACCAATTTGTGCCTCGCCCTTTAGTATAAATATATTTTTGTATCAAAAGAAAATCTCCGAATTACCCATTTTTAATGAGAACAAAATATTGGAAAATCGAATAATTTTTTACTCAAAAAAATAAATAAATAGAACAGCACATGGGGCTAAACAGTTTTTGTTCTACCCCTTTACAACAGAAGAAAAAAAAAAAAAAAAAAAAGGGCAAAGGTATGCAAAAATTGAGTTTCATTGGCAAAATGGCACAAATTGAGTTTCACATAATGTTAAAGTTGAGTTTCAAGGTGAGTAGCAAAAACTAAGCCTAAAAGAAGTTAATGTTTCACTTTAAAAATCCAATTGTCAATAGGAGGAAAAGACCCAAAATCACTTTAAGGGAGCTATATTCACATTAGGATTTCAAACAATTTGAAAATATTTTCTTAAATGATAAATTGCATGAGATTGTGGAGACTTTTGCAAAGACTAAAATATAAGAATTTTTTAATATTTTCGTATAAGATTTTGAAATATTTTCTTGAAATAAATGGCTAATACAATTGATCGGGCAACGATTAAACATATTTGGGCAAGCTTTATTCATAGTCGAGTAAATTTGTTCACCGATCGTCCAATTGTTAGTATATGTAGAAAGTGTTTGCGAAAGAGAACTTACTACAAGGAATTGGGGAATCAATACTACAAGTAATGTAGCAAAGCAATACAAAAGGAACTTGTAAAAGAAGTCTTGTAGAGCTTTAATGTCTTTTCGTATGTTGAGTTGAGTCTTCTTTTTCTTTCTTTTTGTTGCCTTTTATAAAACCACCTTCTACTTCTTGAGTAAGCTTTTCCCTCTCAGTTTATTCCTTCAGATCCAAGTTGTTGATGTGATTGTTGTTAAAGGATAATTTTCCTCTTGCAAACTCAAGCTTTTATCCGCTCAAAACTATAAGTTCGCCACTGAAAAGTACTTTTCCTTCTTTCTTTTTGCTGCCTTTTATAAAACCACCTCTTACTTGTAGAGTAAGTTTTTCCCTCTCGGTTCATTCCCTCGTATCCAAGTTGTTGTAATTGATGTTAGAGGATAAGTTTCCTCTTGCTAACTTGAGCTTTTATCATTTCAAAACTACAAGTTTGCCACTAAAATTACCATTTCTTCTATAAAAATGACTTAGCAGCCTTCTTTCTATGTGGAAGAGGGTTTTTTGCCGCCCATAACGACATGTCATAAAGTGTTTTGCAAAGCTCTTTGAAAAACATGATACAAATGTACAATCCTGATTAACTGTGTGAAAGAGAAATATTTCATCCAATAAAACAGACTCCAATAATTTAACTAAAGTGAAGTTTGGGAACGCCAAGATACAAATGGATTCATAAACACAATAAATAAGGCTCCAGTTTGGAAGTTTCTACTAATAAACATAGAAACTAAGTCTCAGGCCCTCAACATAATAAAGCAGACTTAATAAAAAAACCAAAATCCTTTACGATGCGATTACAATGACCCTTCCCTACATCTAACATGCTGACCGACTGACCCCAAAGAGAATCCGAACACCACCCATGGTTGGATTTTGGCACGCTCCTACTGCCTCGTATTTCTTCCCTGTTGTGCTGCAAGTTTTTCAGCCACTTGTTCTTCTGACAAAGGCAAGTAATAGATTCGGGGAGTTGACTTGGTTTTCCGAAAGAGATCATCCAAGGTGACAATTGGAAGATCAAGCTTCTCCGGTAGAGGTGGTGGAGGAGGCAGAGGAAGCCGCTCTCTTGCTGGGGGAGCTGTAGGCAAGGGTGGTGGAGGAGGGACAGAAGCAGGTGGTGGAAGCTGCTGCTGCCTAGGTTGACGGGGAGAAGGCTGCGGCTGTGAGGTGGTCGCAGCAACAGGAACAGGACCACCGCCGACAGGTGCAGCAGGACTCTGAAAAGCCTGAAGCCGTGTTTGCACTTCCTGAGGATCAACAAACTCAACCGCTAAGAGGCGCCCACCATTGGGAGGCCACTGTAGGTTATACACAGCATTTCGTGTCTCCAAGGCTTCTTCCACTGATGAATACTGCATCAGCACAGTAATATCCACAGTAAGGGAAGAGTTTCATTTAATTTAGAGAGTAAGCAGAAACAGTGGGTAAAAGCATAGTTCCAAACGAGCAAATCCAGTGGGTGCTTACAGTAACATAGCAATGAGTTTTGATGTGGTCCATCCAGAAATCAGTAACAGACCCAGTTTTTCCTAGAAGTTCTTGCACAGCTTTCAGGGTGAAAGGTCGCAGAAAATGATCAATTCTAAGGGAATTAGTTGGAGCCTTCTGTGATGGTGGAACTACAACAAATAAATGATATACAAAGTCAAAACATGTGTTGATACACATTTCCATATTAACAAAAGACCAATGACTCACCAACACGTTCTTTGGGAGCTTCCTCACTCATAGTAGAGTTTGATCTCGAAAAGTTACGCTTTAAACTGGTGGTCTGGAAAGTTTCCTTGGGTGTGACCGTCAGCTTTTCAATAGGACTTTGCAGCTCTGGAACTTTAAGGCTTTCAGAGTTCCACCTGCGCCTTTTTATCGGCTCATTGCTTCCAACTGCTGCTTGATCTGCAAGGGAATTTATCCAATGAAAAGGCCACAACAATACTTGATTATTTAAAGGGAATGGAAAGAAATAGAAGAGAAAAAAAAAAAAAAAAAAAATGAAGTGCAGAACCCAGCAATATCATTTGGAATTACTACAAGATTTATGCCAATGAGGATACAGCAAGCAAAGGCAAGAATATGCACAAAACAGAAAGCAAAAATTAAAACTCTCTGGCTGTAAATAGAAAGTGGCTATAGTCCTCTTACTGAATAATTAAAATGCTGACCATCAAACCTTGATTTCTAAAGGAAAATCAATGCAAATTTAGAAACTGAATATAGTCGTCAAGATTAGTTGCTATACACAAACTGGTACATTCCTCTTATTATATACCAAGAATGTCTCTTACTTATTCCCCAACACACATTCGAAACGGTAATTCAAGTTTAATTTGAAAATAAGTAATCCAATACCCTAGTTATTAAATTCAAAAATAGCTAGACAAATTCATTAAACGTCATCACTGGGTTTCATCAATCCCTTCTCTTGAAGTTTAATTTGTTCCCCGAAATAAGTGATACAATTCATCAGTTAATTATACACATGCAATTATTGCAAGCATGCAACATAATATCATACATACTCCATCAGATATATGTTACCGATCAGTAGAATAAAACAAAGAAAAGGAAATAATCAGAAGCTGATGACAATTACATATGTTGCACAAGTGAAATGCAGAAACTTCATGCAATCCAACTCAAGCAGAAGTTCTCATAGTAACTTAGTGATGTGACAATTGGGTGGAAAAATATACATAATCAAGAAACTCCAGCTAGAATGCTCACCATTAAGCTTTCTTTTCTCAGCAGGTGGGGCCGTATGATTCTTGATCTCAACATTTTCATCCATTTTGTCCAGGGAAATATCATCTCCCACAATATCAACATGACTTTCCTCATTCACAATGGGTAAATCATTTTTCTCACACATCTCTCCCACATCGTCAGAATTATACTTTGAATCAATTTGTTTACCGTCCAGCACATCTTCTTCCATAGAATCATCTCCAGAACTTCTCTCTAAATTTAATTTTTCTGAGTACCCCACATCAGCACTATCATTTTTCTTGCTTATGTCTGCATTTGTATCATTGTTGTCAACTTTCTCTCCAACAGAAGCTTTGTCCTGGTGTGGTTCTTCAACATCCAGTGGATGTGAATCACCACTGACTGGGACAACAGTGCTGGATGATGGATCCACCATCTCCGGGTTAACATCTAATTCTAATTTGACATGGTCAGCAATTATATTATCCTTTAGTTCAATCTTTTCATTAATTGACACAGAATCAGTAGAAATAGAATCATATTTTACTTCAAACCCTAAATGGCTGACCTCAGATACCTGGTAGTTTGGAGCAGAAGAGTTGACTATGACATCCCTGTCTGTAGGCTCTAAACTCTCTTTCTCCAGTTGGGGCTTTGAATCCTCATCCTCCAGCTGGGCCTTAGGATCAACATTCTCCAGCTGGGGATTTGGATTCTCATTCTCCAGCTGGGGCTCTGGATCCTCATTCTCCAGGTCGGGCCTTGGATCCTCATTCTTACGATATAGCTCTGGATCCTCATGCTCCACCTGAGGCTTTGGATCCTCATTCTCTACTATGGGCTTTGGATCCTCATTCTCCACTACGGGCTTTGGATCCTCATTCTCTACTAGGGACTTTGGAACCTCATTGTCAAATAGGGGCTGTGAATTCCCAATTCCCTTATTAGCTTCAGTGTTCTGTGAATTATCACCAACAAATGCTGCCTCAGACACCTGAGTCTCAGTGACCCTAACACTGGTTTCCACAATAGTTGATTGAACAACCAGCTCCTCTTCAGCTATGGCACCAGCATCTTTATCAACCAGAACATAACCTTCTTGAATACCCCCTTGATCCAAATCTGTAGCACTGGCATTAACATCAACCTGAACTGGCAAATCAACTTTTCCAGTCCTTTTACGCCCGCCAGAACCAGTGCTTCTAGGTGTTTTAGCAAGAACTGCAATTGGCTCTACAACTTTATCACCATAAAGTCCGTTATCCTGGGTCGAAGCATTTTCCCCTTCAATTCGTATTGCTTCATCCAACCGTTTTACCAAATCATCCTTCAAGCCCTTGGTTGTCAAACTTCGCTTCTTAAGCTCCTCTTTTAATTCTGTAACCTTCAAAAGGTTGATTGGTCGGTCGCCAAGAATCGGATATTGATATGACATCTTCCTACTAAAAACAAACTCCAACCCTGATTTAAGAAAAATACAACTAAAAAATCAATAACTCTACCAAAATCAGCAACAAAAGGAAAGCACACAACAACAAATAAAAGGACCATGGTAATACATCAACAATACAGCTACCAAACGCCAATATGGAAGTAATCCCTGTTTAAAAGGTCAGTCAAACACTGCTTCTATTTAACAAAGCTAACATAAACAACAAAACATGTCCTGTACGTCTCAGAAACTCTGCCTACCATATGTTGTTTGCTGTTTAATAACTATGCATATTCTTTTACAATTAAGCCATTAAGAAAAAAAAAAAAAAATCTCCATTAAAAAAAAAAAAAAAAAAAAAAAAAACATTTGATAATTTTATCAAAAAGAATGACAAAAGATAATATAAGTGACTTATTCCAATCAAATAATACGAAATAAATGAAACTGACTTTGACCTGTATAGTAAAAATGATAGTAAACTACCTCAGTCGAATAAACGTCGGGTTGGGCAAAAACATAAAAATAACAATATTCCCAGAATATGCAGAAATGCTTCCATAAAAATATACGCAAAGAACGAAAGATAACGTAGTAAAAATTAATAATGCAATTTCGGCAATCATACAATACGAAAACCTGAACTGAAAATTTCGTGCAAATCATCATATTGAACGAACCAAAAGGTCGTACCTTTGCTGCTGAAGATAACACAATTATTATCTAATAAAATAGATAAACCATAAAAGCACGAAACCAAAATCCTAGTTGCCTAAACGCATTGCAGGGGAACGAAAAGGTAAAATAAGTGAGAAGACTTACAGGACTGAATGCTTGACCGGCTGCTGCCACGAAAGGATCAAAAGGCCCACAAAAAAAGGGGAGTGGACAATTGAAAACCCTAATTTGACAACACAAAAACCACCATTAGAGAAAGCATCAGCATCTATGAAGAAGCAAACCCAGAAAACAGATGACAAAGCTAAATCTGAATAGAGCTTCTCCCAATTGGAAGAAAGAGACCCGGCGCTGGGGTCGGTGTCGTTGTTTCCTGAAAACAACCAAAACAAAAAACCAAAAAAGAAAAAGAGATAGAGAGATGGAGAGAGTATGTAAAAACAAGCAAAATTCTTTCTTCCTTAATTTCTCTTTTGATTTGGGGAATTTGAGCGTTTTCTCAGAATTGGGATTTCTAGGGTTCCTTCCTATCTATTTTGCTTGTCTAGTTTTCTTCCTTCTTTCTTTCTGTTTGAGAAGACGAGACGGAAGTGGGTTTCTTCTAAAAATACGATATGTGTTGTTGTTGGTTTCCCGGAAATACCCTTCCCACGTGGCGAAGCTCAGGGATCTGATTGGATAGGTTATGAGGCTCAGGCCCATTAGGCCCGTCAAGGGAGGAAAATGATCCTCGTCATATCTTTTTTCTAAAGATCTTAAAAATTTTATGGTCGTGACCGTTCATCGTACATCGGACGATCAGTTTTTGCTAGGTACTATTTATATTTAATTTTAAAATTAAAATTTTGAAATGATTTCTGACCACACGATATACGATACGATCATAAGATCCCTAGAAAAATGATCTAGCGAGGATCATTTTCCGTCAAGAGAAGATGGAGAGACATTTTGGTGGGACTGACTTTTAACAACAAAGATCTCGTCAACGCATGATGTTATCAATTTAAATGTAAAATCTTATCAATTTAGGGCAGACGATTAAACTTATCGACACACTTATGAATACAAATAAGTTATACTCAACATGCATTGGTATTATATGACAGAGTCATCATCTTTCTTTGGTATATATAATATCGTTTGTTAAAGAAAAAAACATGCAATGATAGAGCGCACAACTATTAGCAACCATTTCGGTTTTGTTTGTTTAAATATAATTATTGTTACAGTTATCTTTGTCTTGAATGACAACTGGGTATCTTTGTCTTCAATGGTGAAGGTAGAGATGATCACTTAGATCATCATTCTTGTTTGTTTGAGGCTTGGATGCCTCGAATGCATCTGAGGACTGCTCGCCGCTGATTGCCATGGATTATGGAGGTGAAAGGTGTGACTTCTAGGGTTTCATTTTGGTTCCCAGGAAAGAAAAGCCCTAAAGCTGATGGTACCATGTAAGAAATACTTGGTTTTCAGTGTATAATTTAATCAGTCTAAATGCTTGGTTTTGTATAATACTAGCACTATGTGGCCTCGTTTGGCACACCGTATAAAGCACCAGATAGTACTAATAATATGGAGTACGGTATTTGGTGTCCGTTTGTATTAAATAGTCATTGGATTAAATAATCCGGCCCACCTATTTTATCCAATGAATACCTGCTTCCTTATACTCTCCAAAAGCACGGGACAATTTAGTCGGTGCTCTCTCCCACCCTTCATTCTTCCTCACCCTATATTCTTCTTCTTCGTTTCCCTCCCTCTCTTCTTCTTCATTTCCCTCCATCTCTTCTTCTTCCCATCTGCTTTCTCTGCTTACAAAAACCAACCATACTCCCTCCATTTTCCCAATCAAAACTCTTCAAAATTCCAAGCAGCTTCCAAGAAACCAAAGAATCCCACAAAACCCAATTCCTCCACCGATCACCATGAACCACCACCACCAGCAGGTTCCATCCAACCACCCAAAACAAGACTCTTCTCTCCCTGCATCTTCTTCTGGCTACCACAGGATCTCCCCTATCTCTGCTTCCTCCACCGCAAACTCTTCGGCGCTCCGTTTCAAATCTCAACAAACAAAGAAATAAGATTTGTCAAATTTTTTTCCTTCCCTTTTCTTATCCGGTTCAGTACCAAATACAGTATAAATAATATGGTCATTAGTCCGATACAACATCAAACGCCCAAATAATTTAGTCAGCACTATCCGGTGGCTATTTATCATATCCGACAGAAATAGTCAGTACAGTCCGAGCTGCCAAACGAGGCCATATATATTTAAACACACACAAGCCTCGTTTGGCAGCTCGGACTGTACTGACTATTTTTGTCAAATAAGATAAATAGCCACTGGATAGTACTGACTAAATTAGTCAGACTTTTGGTACAATATCAAACTAATGACCATATTATTTATATTGTGTTTGGTATTATACCGGATAGGAGGAATTCAAAGTATTAATACTTTTAAGATAAAAACTGATGATTAATGGGAAAAAAAAATTACACATTCACGACCACCAAATGGGTCAAATTAAAAAAAAAAACAAAAGGAACAAAATGTTTAATTTAATTTCCAATTATGCCTTCTAATTATATCTTTCATTTTAACTTCCAATTTAACACTGTCAAATGTTTAATAAGATTAAATAATAAAATTTAAAAGTTACAAAATTAAAACCAACAGCCACTCAATTTCTTCTTCTTTTTGTTGAAGATTAATTCATTATATTTTTTTTTATTGAAATTCATTCTAATAATTCTGAAATTTCATCTTCTTCACCTGCAACCATCATTCTTCAAAAATTTTATCATAAATTGAAACTGGCCACTAGCTCCATGACTTTTACAGTCTAATTTTAATCGCCTTCCTCACTGTCAAACCCCAATCCCATTAGTGGTGCGCTCTCAAAATCTCCCAACAGTGCCATTGTTAGAGCCTCTATAGCTAAATCAACGACGAGATCCTTGGCCCCGCCGCACCCCCCAAACTCCCTCCCTCTCTCTCTCTCTTCTTCTTCTTCCCCGACTAATTTTCGACTTTGAAGCTCTGCAATTAACACCCACGAACTCAAAGCCTTCGATGCGCGACGGCCAAGCCTCGGGGCTCTTATAGCAAAGGAAGACGCGACAGCCATAAGCGTTGACGGCGTCCGCAAGAACAACGACAGCGAGAGGGATGACAACGAGAGGAGGTGTCGTGGAGAACGAAGTGCGAGAGAGGGAGAAGGGAAACGAAATGCGAGAGAGAAAGGAAATGAACCAGGCTAATAATCCTCTCTTTTTGAAAGGGTTTATTATACAGGTGTATACCCTACTAAATAGGCAGACTGACTAAATTAGTCTAACGACTATTTAAAACAGAAGGACGCCAACAACCGGGTTCATATTATTAGTCCTATCCGATCTTTTATAAGACCCACCAAACGAGGCCTATGTGTGTGTTTATCTATGTTCGATAACAACCATTGATCAACACATTGATGAGTCGCTTGCACCTCATTAGGAATATCCATCTTGAAGACCAATGACCCTCAGCATTGGGGGGCACCCAAGTGATGGTTGACGTCCACAAGGGTAATAGGTTCATGTGATTGAGTATGCCTAGCCTCGTGGAGCATCTCAAAGAACTTCTCATACTGCTCTTGGAGGATCTCATTCTTCATTGCTATCTTGTTGTTCTAAGCCTTCAGCTCTTCAACTTTAGCTTAAAGAGCAAACTTCTTTTGTTCCTTCCTTCGTTGCCTCACACTAGGCACGAAGGAAGTGTCGTTCTGTGTGTTGTGGCTTCCTGTACTCTCCATGTTGGAAAGGGATGTCTGGTCAAAGGTGTGTACAAACAATGGAAACCAGCTTGAAGAAGCTGGTGAGAGTAGGAATAAGTTTCGCTTCCCACAGACGGCACCAAATGTTGATGCACGAAATTAGTGAGACTTTGGAACAACATAAAGTGTCAAGTTTGTAACCTTCACTCGGTTGCTTCGGTCACCTAGTGATGATAATATGTAAAAAGATAGAGATAGAGATAGGGAAACAAATACAAGATGTACGTAGTCCACCCTAAGTCTGGCTACGTCCATGAAGTAGAGGAGTTCTCATTAATAGTGAAGGGTTTACACAAATACATAAGTTCAAACATAATCATCATTAGTGGATTCTAATGACTAGTTTAAGTACAATAATGATATTAGGGATTAATTGTAGGAGAATGGTCTTCTTTTATATTTAGGGAGAGTCTCCAGCTTTTGTCCATGGTCGATGTGGGACCCTATGAGCTTTATTCTGACGTTGACATGTGTAGTGCTATGATTGGCTTCCTGGTTTCAGGGAAAGTCTTGTCTTCAGCAGTGATGCCTCAGCACGAACCCCTCAGTGGGTCTTTGAAGGTATGACGTTGATTGGTGCTTGGTAGTTTTGGCATTGGTCAAGTATGGTACAAACACTTATGAACTTAGAATTCTACATACTCCTTTAAAATCCATCACTTAACAAAATCTATTAAAATCCTCTCAAATCCTTTTTCACTACACTATCTGCAAACGCTTTGTGTCATGCCCTAAAACTGGACATGTAACAATACCGCGTCCCATTGACAACGCGATGCTATAACTTCAAATGCTTATAACACCACGGTCAAACGCTTATAACACCACATCCTCAACAAAACTTATGGCAATATTTCTCAGTTCAGGCTCCTCTTGTCCACATCTTTACACGTTTGGTTGACGTTACAACAAGAAAAAGAATTCATCGGAATAAACCACTACAGGTGATCATTAATATGACTACGGATTTAATTTAGATCAACGACAATTGCCTACAAACATAAATTATAAGACCACCACAATATAAATTATGCTTCGGTTCGCATAACAATATGAGTCATGCAAATTATGCATCTTTTTATGATTTAATTGCGATTCATCTACGTAGCATGACATTGTTGGAAAAATAATATCAATTACAATATTAAATCACATGGAAAATCAAGAAATAATTCATACAATTGTATATCATATTAATGCATGCACATGAATAACCAATGTTAAATAAACATAATGGATTAGAAAGACTTGTAAGTACAGTCCAGACAAATTTTAGACACTATGTCCTTAAGACAAGTTTACGCTCCACTACAGTGCTCATGGTTGATTGGCACTTGTCTCCCAAAATAGCAACCACATTCTTGTAATAGTAGCACTGCAAATCACAAGGCTCTAATAAACTATGATTGTGCTAAATAATGTATAATTATTAGAGAGATGGGACAAAGGCCCACTTCCAACAACACCGATATTGTCCCCAACTTGGTAATTTGCATATTCCGTCAGGTGTGAGGTTTAGAAAAGACCTTGGTGTTAGTTAGAGTGAAGTTAGGTAATTTAAACACTTATTTTCTTATAGATACGGTCGATGTGACATATTTCACCATGCCTCCTCATATGGGACTGAATTTGTGGATTACACGTAGGAGATCCACACCTTGACAACCACATGAAGCCAAGGAGACTCACCCTACACACAAGGCCAAGGGACCCACCATCATTGCTCAGGGCCAAGGGGACCCACCTATCACTTGGCAGTACAGGTCCTCTCCTTGACTCTGATACCATGTAGAATTATTAGATAGACAGGCTCAAGACTCACTTCCAACAACACCGATATTGTTCCTGACTTGGTAATTACTACCTGCACATTTCATCAAGTGTGGGGTTTTTTCACAAAGGCCTTGATATTAGTTAGAGTGGAGTTAGGTAATTTAAATACTTCTTTTCTCGTATATACGGTCGATGTGGGATATTTCAACTAATACTCTCTCATATAGACTCAATGGAACACTACATAACTCTAACAATAGTAAATTATGTGTATGGATATGTCAATGTAGAAGTTGTTCAATGCTTATAGGGGGTTTCCCTATTTATAAAAATTTTAGATACCTCTTTAGAAGGCATGTGACTATTCATGAAATGTCAAAAGTTGCAACTCTTCATTAGAAGACACATATCTTTCCACCAAAACACACCGATTATAATTTTCATTTAATTAATAAATTTAATATTATAATAATAATAATGTTAAATTATCCAACCAACATTGCATTTCATTCAACCGTAACAAATATAAATTATTTATTTTAATCTATAATATAGTTCAATTCATCATAGTCAATAAATAATTGTATTTACCTTAACTTCATCTCGACAACGCCACTTAATACTATGATTTAGTGATATTCCTCTTCACTCTTCACTTGTAAGTGAGAGGTCATAGATTCGATTCTTGCCAAAGACGAATTTAAACCACATTCTTACTGGCCCCTTATAAGGCCCACTCCCCCTCTCCTTTAGTGTAGATAATATAATTTGTGCAAATTGTTCAAACAAAAAGAATATAATATTATTTGTTCAAACAGGAGGGAAAAAAAAAAACTTCGTCTCGACAACTATGGGCATTACAACAAATTAATGACGATTATGACTATCAACTTCCAAGCGATAGTCCCAATTATTTTCACTGATTGCAATAACTGATGAGTCTTTAATGTCACTTAGTATTACAGTCTGGTTGTATTCATTTTTACTTGAAAGTGAGAGGTTTAAGGTCTGAATCTCGTGGATGGCGAATTGGATACCAAATTAGGCTATCCTTTGTGTGGCTTAGTCAAACTCTACATTCCCTTAGTGTAAAAATATCGATATACTAAAAAAAATGATGAGTCTTTGATAGATCACTTATGAGCTAGGGGATAAAGGAGAAAAGCCAAAAGATAAAGGAGAAAGGCAAACAGAGTTTGCAAGTGTCACTTGCATTGGATGACCGATTAACTTTTATACATTTTTTTCCTTTTCGTATTCTGTTTATTTACAAACAGAACCACAAGTATTCATACTGGTCTGCACCGAAGAAAATTTTCTTATATCAAAATTATACTAATCAACAACCACGTATCATCTTTATATATAAAGCCGGCGGACCCATTTTGGGGTCACGGCTTTACTAAAAAATTTTGAAAAAAAATACCGCCCAAACAAAAAAGTTCAAAAGCAGTCCAAAATAATGCATGAGTATTTTCGTCATATAAATAGTGTCTTTTAATAATTAATTCTTTTTGTACAGTGTTTTTTTTTTAATTAGTACATCATAATAGGCCGGCAAATATAAAGCCGGCAGCCCCATTTTGGGATCACCGCTTCACCAAAAATATTTGGACAAAAATGCCCTCCAAACAAAAAAGTTAAAAAGCAACCCAAAATAATGCAGCGGCATTTCGTCATATAAATAGTGTTTTATAATAATTAATTCTTTTTGTATAGTGTTTTTTATTATTATTTAATACCTCACAATAGGACTAGCAATAATGTGATTCAATCAGTTGTTTATTAAATATTATTTTTTCTATTTTTAACACACGTTCAAAACATCTTAAGAAGCGCGTAGTGCCGGTTATAAAAAAAAGATCTTTCGCACGCGCATAATAATGTGATTGAATTAGTTATCAAATGATTGTTTATTTTTTTTCGAACAAACAATATTATCTACACTAAGGGAAGGGAGGGTGGGCTTAGCCTCACAATGAGCTAGTAATAATGTGATTCAATCAGTTGTTTATTAAATATTATTTTCTCTATTTTTAAACACGTTCAAAACATCTTAAGAGACGCATACTGCCGATGATAAAAAAAAAGGTCTTTTGCACATGCACAATAATATGATTTAATTAGTTGTATTATTTTCTCTATTTTTAAACACTTAAGAGACGCGTAGTGCCAGCTATAAAAAAAGTCTTTCACATGCATATAATAATGTCATTCAATTAGTTGGCAAATGATCATTTTTTTTATAACAAACGATGTTATCTACACTAAGGGGGAGGGGGGTTGACTTAGCCTCACAATGGACTAGCAATAGTGTAATCAATCAGTTGTTTATTAAATATTATTTTCTCTATTCTTAATGTAAATTCAATAGAATGTAGATGGAAATTGAAAGACCTGATTTTATTATGTGGATTCAACGACTTTGTTTGGTTTACGAGGGGTTTTTTCTATCATGGTCTAATATTATTTATTTACTTCAAATACATTTAAAACGTGTAAGTCGCGCGTAGCACACCATGATTCAAAAAATATCTTCTACATGCGCTCATGAATGAGATCGTGACTCTTAAAGTTAGTCGCACCAAAAAGTCTCGCCGTCTTCTCTTGAGACTCTTGTTATTTTTATGTTTTTGCCCAACGCGAAGTTCATTCGACTGAGTTAGTTTATTCGCCCCAAATAAGTAGCCATTCAGGTATTCTTCTGGTGCATTGACATTGTTACGAGTATGCATAAGAAGAAAAGAAGAAAAGAAAACATTTCGAGGAGGTATTGTTTTCGTTCAACTCATAAATCTTATATGATGTCTTTTATAATTTACCTGTTGCGAGTTAACTCATAAAAAACAGTTGCCGTGATCGGATTTACGCAAGATATTTACTGCACAGTTGACCTTGACATTTTAGAATTAGGGAAGCTATTAGAATCTGTATGTGATTTGGAATATTGTGTCTGTGTGTGCTTGTACGTCTATTTATATCCCTGGATAACTGATTCTCAACATACCTCCTACAAAAGTAATTGAAACTAACTGCCTTTTTGCGGATGAATTTGGAAGCAGAGCATCACAGGAAAAAGAAGAAGACGAGGTTGAACCTAAGGGGGCAGCAGAAGAAGCAGCCGACGAGGCCTCCTCTCCCTAAACCTCGGGGTTTTGGCGATGACGACGATGACAATGATGTTGAGTAGGAAATAAGTCGGCAGGCTTCCAAGAACAAGTCTCTGAAAGATATTGAGGAGCAACCGAGGAAGGCCCTTGAGCAGGACCCGTCGGTGCTCAACTACGATGGAGTTTATGATGAGATGAAACAGAGAGCCATCCAACCTCGGGTACAAGATCGCCAAGAGAGAATGGCAAGGTACGTTCCTGGTATACAGAGAAAAGCAGCAGAACGAAAGCGAAAAGCAGGAGATAATATATGAGAGAAAACTACAGAAAGAGCGAAACCAAGAGGATCACCTCTATGCAGATAAGTAACGCTTTGTCACAGGTGCTTACAAAAGGAAACTTGCGGAGCAAGCCAAATGGGCAGAGGAAGATCGACTGCGTCAACTTCAGGAGGAACCTTCAAAGAAATGTTGCTTTTGGTGCAGAAGATGTGAAGTTCAGGAAGCTAGAGACGCAGGAGGAATTAAGCAGGCCAGATAAACATGACGATAGAGATGGACCAAATGCTGTAGCATTGAAGCCATTGGGGTCTTCCAGTGTGAGAGAGGTGCATCTAGAGAAGCAGACTGAATCAGGCAAGCCAAACAAACTTGAAGACAGAGAAATAGCTGCAGCATCAGTGCTGTTGGAGTCACTCGGGGTGATAGAGGGACATCAAGAGGAAACTTTAACCAAGTCTAAACGTAGTGATGAGCTCTCTGATGAAAAGAAAGCTTCAATTGCATCAGCACAGGAAAAATCGTCAGTTGAACAGCCGCCAGAAAACCGAGTACTAACCACCATAAAAGAAGTACAGATGATTTGGCTGCAGCGAGAGAACGCTATCTGGCAAGGAATAGACCAAAAGAATCATAGAATTTCTGCTCGTCATGAATGTTTGTAACAGAAAGAAAATAAATACATGGAGGGATGCAATTTCGGAGCCGATGATGCACCGTCTTTAGTATTTCCTTGTGTATTTGATGAAATGTTGCACCATTTGACTAGACCATCAGTGCCGTTGGATGCGTTGTGAATTTATGAAGTGTCGTTGACAGGTTGTGAAAGGGCTTGTTGTTAGCTTTTGTTTTGTAGTGTTGACATTGATTTTTGTTGGTAAAATCTTGTTTAATCTTATGAATTGACTTGATTTTGCTAAAGTCGTGATTTGTTCACAGTAGACGTATGGTTATAAAAACTTGTTCACAGATTGTTGTAAGGATTTTTTTTTTTTTTTTTTAAACAAAAGACATTATCTACACTATGGAGGAGGGGGTAGCTTAGTCTCATAATAGTCTAGCAATAATGTGGTTTAAATTCACCATTGGCAAGAATCGAACCTAAGACCTTCTACTTACAAGTGAAGAGGAATATCACTAGACCATATTACTAAGTGACAGATGGTTGTAAGGGTATTACTTGTTGAATTTGGTTGTGTTGATTGCTTGCATTGTTATGTACATGATATGGCAACTAATGGTGTTCAATGAGCAACCAAAGAAAAAGATTAAGCGTTAAAATCCTATCCCAAGCCCCAATGTGCTAGGATTGATGCTTTAATGGGGCACATGTTGCTGTTTTTAGGACATTGTGCTCTGGCCACCTGGAGCATGTGGATAAATTGGCCTCCAGTGGCCAATTGGTCAATGAGTTGTCGCTCCGTGGAGTGGCAAATCAAGGGGTCAAAGACCTTGAGGGACCAACCTATTTCATAGGTTGTGAATTGATTTGGTTCACAAAGCGGGACTTCTGCCTTGTTACATTGAAGCTAATCCAAGCGAACGGCACTAGTGCACTTTTTAGGTACGAATTATGGTCACTGAATCACTGAGCATGCTAATTTGAGAGCTACCTTATGCATTATTTGAAATGCCTCTCTCAAATGTGACAACTACAAGCCAATAGCTAGTGGACTATCGCAAACCAAATAATATACATAAAAGGAAAAAGAAAATGTCCCTCGAGCAATATAAACAGGAAATGTGTTTCTAAAAGATATATAATTGCCAAAATCGCAAGGTGATTAAACATAACATCATTATCTGTTACTCACTTTCTCATCACTTTCCTGCATGTCTAAGTGATTCATATTCCTTTCCAGTGGTGGAAACCCGTCGTCGGAATCACAAGAGCCCTCCGCACCGTCACTGAGAGAGGACAGGTCTGCTCCTCCTGTAACAGCAGAAAACAAACATACGCTGAGATTAGCATACTTTTCTCCACAAAGATGCTCTTTAAAGAGATATCATCCCCGTTTAATTGAAATAGAAATCACCTTGATGAAGACATTTAAGCAAATTGGCACCCTCAATTGCTTCCCAGATAAAAATAATTACACCGAGGAGTAAATGCATATAGTCTTACTACTATCTCGGTTACAAAACGTGATAACAAATTTAAACAATTTTTACAAAACTCAACAAGGCCACCTCCTCCTGTGCAAAGGAGAGGGTCCACTGTTGGTTGGTTGATCAGGTCTCTGTATGTGCCAAACAAAAGGTAGGGGCGCCCTTCATCAACCACCACCCCAACACTGTACTAAGATGAATAGGCTGACAAGCAGCATTCAAACGAAATGCTCCCGAAATCTTATGGGACATGACTCATGAGTCAAAACAACAGATCAGATCTTGTAAAAAGAATTTACTTTCTGTTTTTAAAAGTAAAAAGTACCTTTTACTTCTCTAGGAGCCTTGGGAACCTGACTGTTTTGTGAAAGCCAATCATTTTGGACTGAAATTATTTCAGCACTGTTTTCACATTTGGAGTATGCCTTCAGAAGATCCCTGCATCGATGCCAATGGTTGAAACAGTGTCAGAGGACATAAAGTCAAGAATAATTGTGCATTCTGATATAGATTCAGTGTAATCTCAATATATCCTTCAGTAAAAAGTCTGGCGATTACTGAGATACCATGATACCAGGGTGGTCATTACTTGAACGTTAAGCAGTTGGATATACTGAAATTTCAGCCACATTCGACTAGTCAATCCAGAATTGTATGGAACTTTCCTTTTTAATTTGACTTCAGTCATAAATTACCTTGTCCCTAGAAATCATTAGCTAAATCCTCCGAAACTGTAAGGCCAGAGGCTGAGGAGGAAAATATGAAGAGAATAACAACCTAGATCAATCTGAGAGTTAAAAAAATAAAAGGAAATTTATTTAGCTTAGATTGTTTTTCATAATCAACCATGACCAAAGTATGCTAGATGCATGTCATCGAAGGCTAGACATCATTTTGTGGATTGGTTGGACATTTTCTGGGTCAGCTATGGGTTTCAACTGACATAGCATTAACTTCTTACCTGGAGTATGATTTATGATGAACATATTATGCAAAACTAAATACAACACCCAATAAAACATAATCGCATACCTATTGAGGGACAGGAAAGCATGACCCCATTTGAACTTTCCAAGCAACAAATTTGCAGTTTCTTCTTCGCCACTGTAAAATCATATAAAAGAAACATTAAGGAAAATAGGCAACTGAATGTCTGGCAGCAACATATCAAACTGTTGACCCAAATAGAGAGAGAGGTCCACGACAAAGAATTTCATAAAAATGAAACGATCCTTTGGAGCGTACAAAAGACTTGGGAGAAGGAAAAGAGCTCCAAAGCTTAAATCTTGATTATCAAGTAGGATGAGGTTTGGGCTGTACTGTCACCCAACAGTTAATATTATGGGAAAGAGTAAGCTGTCATTTACCCCCCTCAACCATCACGTAGTTATCAATTTACGCCTACATGAACCATATAAAAATGACCAATTTGAACCTACATGAACCATATAAAAATGACCAATTTGAACCTCACCGGTAAACTTTTAATTCTCTATTCAAGAAGTTGATAAAAGTAAGGCCACACCTCCATGCCCCAGCCCCCCTCCCCCACACCATAAAAAAGCAACTCCTATCAGCCTCTCAGACCCACGACTTCTTGTACACATCAAATCAATCTAAACTAGAGAGAAAAGTTCTCTATTCTCTCCAGTTAACATATCATGAAGCCAAAAAAAAAAAAGAAAAACATATGTGAAACGAGGAGAAATGATGCAGTCACCGCAGACCATCACCGTAACTGAAGGTGGATGGGCTGGTGGGCGAGTGTGTGCATGCGGTGGTGCATGAAGGGGGATGAGAAGGGCTTCAGGGAATTGAGGGTTAGTTTTCCTTTGTAGTTTTTAGCTTTAATGGTTGAAAATGTATTTTGTTTAAATTTAAATAAATCGTTAATAAGAGAACATGTGTTGGCACACAACAGTTGTTAAAGGAAAATTGGATGGAAGTTTGTAAAATTGACACCAAATCCTAAGTTGGCCATTTTTATTCGGGTTAATTGGTTGAAAAGTAGATCAGAGAGCAAATTGACAATTACTTGATAATTCAGTTACGCTATGAAAAATCTAAAAGTCATAGACCTTTAATAATATTTTTTTGAGCAGATATACATTTGATAATATTTTTTTTGAGCAGATAGACCTTTAATAATTTTATTTTAGAATTTGTGAAAGTAGTAGACATAAGAGATTGCACTGGTGTAATTAAAGACCAAAAAGGCATCAGTGGTAGACAAAACCTCTCACTCTTAATGGTAATGAACAGAGATTCTAGTACCATATGAACACAGCTGCAGATAATGCCTCCACACAAGATAGTTGACAGGGTCGACCATAATTTACTGGATTTGCTGCTACAAACCAAGGCACTGCAAATTATATAATTTGTAAATGTTAGGGAGCTAGTAAGAAGAAAACTGTGGAACACAAAAATTTAACTTCATGCATGTGCTAATTGCAAAAGTACACTCAATCATTCATCACACCATATAACATGATTATAACAAGCAGCAGAATATAAAAATGATAAACAAGGTTGCTATCAATTTAGACTACTAGCAAAGAGATAATTTAACATACTAGATAAATGAAATTTAATTAAACAAGGTTGCTCAGCCTGGAAGCAATGCATATCAGCTCTGTGAGCTATCTTCGCCCACCCGTGTCTCTGTTTAGAATGTTCTAGTGTTGCTAACCATATGCGATTGGTAAAACCACAGCAGTAATAGGTTGCCTTTCAATACCATTACGACCCCATCCACTAAAATTAATATCTACAAGGAATGACCACATGGAAATTATCACATCCTGAGAGAGCTCCATGTCACACCCACTTCCGCAATTCTGATGGCATTTTTAAAAAGGCACATAACGGTCTCTGATTTGAAGCTACCCCCAGTTATGTTTTAGAAATTATATAGCAAAAAGCCAGACAAATAAATGAAAAGATATAACCACTTTAGTTAGAAACTGAGAAATTCTTTTTTGAATTTGTTCAATCCTTCTTTCCCAGTTAGTAACAGTCAGTATTTTCAGTTTCTTATTTTACTAGGGCAGTCTATTTGTATTTTCTTAATGTATTTATTTATGTTTGATACTCCAAAGGAATATTTAATTTCATTTTCATCTATACAGACGCAGAGAATAAGTGTGTGAGAGACTTTAGAGGCTTACACACACTTCAGAGGATACACTTAAATTTATCGCCATATGTAATCTCAAAGACTCTTTCCAACTTTTGTTCATATAAGAGTACGTAACTACATATAAAAACTAAGCACCCATCCAGTTGTGCATTTGAAACTCTATCTTTGGCATATCACATGTATTTCATATTTAATGTTTTGGTACTGCATATATAATTCCTTTAATGGACATGTTGGACACTCCTGGTTGTTTGTAGCCACAAATCATACCATAAATAACATGCTCCAAGCATGCTAATTGATTGAAGAATCAAAGCTCTTACAGAGGCGAGGAGCAGTGCAACTGAAGCTTCACAAATGGTACATCATCCAAGCGTGCCCAAGAGCAATCCACAACAGCTAATCCTTTTCGCTGGATTAAACTATAATCTTCTCTTGAGACACAAAGCGTCCCAACTGGACTGCAGAAATGGGAAATAACATTAGTAAAAGAAGCCATGTATGAACCATGAAGCAGTAATGTCAATTCAAATGCATAACTGTTTAATGCAAGGAACAAAAGAATTTATATACGTTTTTATAATGAATCATGAAATAATGAATGTCATTTAAATATATAAACTGTTAAACAGAAGGAACAAAGGTGCTACTACAAATTTCCATTAGAACTATAACAAGAGACTCTCCTAAAACTCATCTAAACCCAAAGTTTCTACATTTCAATCACCCTTGCCCACCTCCCATCTGCCAAGATCCGGAGCAAAAATTCTTCATAAACTGAAACACTCACTCTTTGGAGCTCAGATATTTGGGGTGTACATGCAGATGAAGCAAAACTAATAATTTGAGGCGAATACAGAAGGCTATAATGATTCAACAACGCCCATTACATCATCAGAAAGATCACGTGATGCTCACTTGGTTTTTGGAATATAATGTATTTAATTTTTCCTGTATAATATTCCAGCGCAGCTAGATACTGATATAAAACTAACACAATGCAACACGACATTATTAAAAAAAATTAATTAATATCATAGCTATGGTAAGGTAAAACAAGATAATTTCTTAAAGTACCTCAAAACAATGCCTCCAAAACCATTATTGACACGCAATTCCTGCAAGAATTAGTATGAATATTAACACTAAAGAAATTGCAAGAGGGAAACCATCTAATAAATCTTAAATTCCATGATCCAGGTTTTACAACTTAAGGAAATTGCATTTAGTACTATGAGTCTATGACACAATTTTATTTGTCCCATCAAGTTTCCAACATTTAAATAATATGTACTTCCATTGTGTCATAACTGTAACCCAATACACTTCACAGCATTATAAATAGTTTAATACATCAAGAGTTAAAGGCAATCTTCACATATTTGGTCGTGAATATGCTCAAGGTGCTCATAATACCAATTAGAAATACTTAATGAGGAAAAAGATCGAATAACCTTCAATGCTATGCAGGAAATATTCAACATACATAAGATTGGAGCTTGTACAAAAGACTTATCAGTTTACAGTCGGCATCCTTCCTTTTCACCTAAAACATGTAAACTAGACCTATTTTCCATTTAAATACTTCCCTTTATGATTGAAAAAAGTTGTATCCATAATATCTAACAAAAATTTCAATGCACCAGTTACATTTACATAAAGTAGGGATCCTACAGCCAAAATTCTGATTGAATAGATAGTTGGAAAGAAACCCGGTAACATAAAAATCTAAAAGCCAAGATGTGATTCAAAAGGAAAAAATAACTGGACACTTACCTTCAACAAGCCAAATCTTGAAAGCTTGCGTCCTGTGCATCTTTTTGCATCACATTGGCCAAAATCCTGAATCAACAAAACAACACCAATTGATTTGAGGTTCACAAAATGGACTGAAATTGAGGATGCCATTGCAAAAGTTCATTTCAGATGGACAGAGTAAGGCCAAAGGATTCGGACATTATCTCAAACAAATTAATCGACATCAAATGGCAACTGCAGTAGATTTATACACCTTCTAAACATGACCACAAGCCATTACAGTTTAAGTATAACCAAAAATAACAATCGAAGACGAATATTATGAGGTAAATCGGAGACACAAAAGCACACTGATATGAAGAGAAAATGGAAGTTGAAAGAAAAAGCAAAGAAATGCATACCCACATTGCAAGCTGGATTTTGGGACCTGTTGCTGTTGGCTCCTCTTCAGTAGCTGCAGTAACCAACCAAACAAATCAAAAATCAAAACCCAATGCCTCCATAGCAGGAATTATATCAAACACCTTGCGTGAAAAAATGGAAAATAAATTGCAGACCTTGATCAGATGGTAGGGATTCGTCAGACTGTGGAAAATGGTGATGGGTCCGACTAGATTGCCCCCGGTCACGGTGAGGCTTATGGTTCTTGAACCGCTTGTTGTTACCCATTTCCTGTGCTTTCTTTTGCTTTGCTTTGGTGCCGAATCTGCGCCACCGTTCTTAGCTCTCCTCACACAGGGTTTTAGAGTGGCTCTTGGTTTTGGGGCGGGGGTAAGCTCGTTCGCTTGCTGGGCTTTTGTTCTTCGTTTATTCGGATGTATTCAATTGAAATTAGCATATATGCCCACACAAACAAAGTGTGTAAATATTTTTTAGGGAAATTTTATGAGATGTGCTATCCACATATCTCATTTTACTTCTCATACATTTTTGATAATTTTTGTCCTTTGATCTTCTTCAATTTATCCGATCCGACGGATGAAAATTAAAAAAGTGTGTAACAAATAAAATGAGGTGTGTGGATATCACACCCCAATTTTATTTGAAGTATGCAATTTCTTTATACACTCAATTTATTCTCTTCATCAATATTGTTATTTTTATTAAAGAATTAATATCCCCTTAAACCCAAATTTATTACCTAAATTACCCTCTCAAATCAAATTCAAAATGTAAAGTTATCTTTATAGTCATTCCTTTTATAAAATAACATCTCTAAAATGTTTTCTTTTTTCAAAGAGGTGTTATTTGCCCCTCTATAATTGCATACGCCGTATAAGATTAGCATTTCCATAGCTGATTTTTTTTTTTCTTTCTACTACCAAACCCATCCCTACACTTGGGATCCAAGAGATCCTTCCATAGACTTGAATTTGCCAAAGAATGCAATGCAAGCTCCAATTCAGTCCATCACTTTGCCAAATTTGATCTTGATGTTTTGGATTTGGATGTAGGCATGTTCGATGAGGGGTAATATTCTCATAAAGCCCTTTTCATTCATCTTTTTGTTTTGCTTCTAAATGAATGTATGTGCAAATAACCTTGTTTCCTTAGGGCTTATGATAATCATCACGCTAGTCAGGAGGACATCACACTACCAGGTTGTAAAAGTTAATTGTTGTTTGGATTTCTCATATTTATTATTTGTCTTAGTTATGTTCATTCGATGAAAGTCTTGAAATATTTTAACTTTGTGTTACGTATCAAATTCCTATTGCAAAATACCATTATGTCACTATAACTTTTGATGAGGTTCACATCTTTTCTTTTTCAATGATAGGGTTTATTGTTTCTGTTGATCTCTAATGATAGTGTTTTGGGGCGTAGACAGACGGCTGAAAAAAAATAAATACAATATAATATAAAAAGTATGAAATTTAATCCAAAGAAGAAGCAAACAAACAAATTATCCATAAATTGAGTCAAACCTTAATTGAAGGATTCAAAACTTCAAAATCACCATTCATCAATAGAAAAGCTTGTTTTTCTCTATCATTATGCAATAAGTTAAAATGGACAATTAACATGTAAAATTTAAGTTGGGTGTAGAAAGATGTTACATGGGTTTAAATAAAAATTTTCCTATTTTTTATTGTATAATGTTAGGGAGATGAAATTTTTAAAACTAATTTGCAAATGATGTGTCACCAATAGGAAATAAGCGTATTAATCAACATTTTAGTAATAATTCAATCATCAATTTCCATGGCATTTAGTTTATAAAATTTAGTCTACATATTTAATCTCCCAAGCATTACCCAAATTATTATGGTGAGTAATGCTAGGTATACTAAATATGTGAACTATGGTGTATGCTCATCATACACCTAATCATCTGTCACGTGTCCTCTTACTTAACTTTGGTCAAAATTGAAAAAGTAACATTTAATGTGAAAGTTAACTAGAATTAGCTGAAATGACACATGACAGATAATTAAGTTCATGGTAAGCATAAACCATAGTTATGGTGGTGGTGGTGGTAAGCAAAAATGCTCTCCTAAATTTGTAAACGAAATTTGCAAACAAAGTAATGTGTCACCAATAAGAAATACGTATGTTAATCGACATTTAAGTAATAATCTAATCATCAATTTTCATGTCATTGAATTTATAAAATTTGATCTATAAATTTTGTCTCTCTAGCATTTAGCCTACTTCCATGTCATTAATACACTAAAATATCTCCATCTCAAATCTTTTACTTTTCATAATCATTTACTTATTTTAAGCTGTAACTCTACATAAAATTTTACTTTACCAAATGCTCTACTATGTCTTATTTTAACCACGTTACCCTACTCCATCAACTCATTACAAAAAGTTTTGACTTGCTGACATGACATGGGTATTTGGTAATATTAAACAATTAAATTAAATTTAAAAAGGGAAATTGATCATATAACACATAGTAGAAGGGTCTATATCACCTAAATTTCTAAGGCTTCTTCTTCAACCCATTTGGATTACTTTATCTACGTTCATTTGGACTACTTCTATGACACACCCCGACTCGGAATGTCCACTAGGATCTCGAATTGAGTCGTGCTGGCTGACACCTGGAAGGTGACAAAGCCATAAAGTGTGATAATGTATAAAATGTGAATAAATTAAAATCTAAAGTGCCTAAGTAAACGAGTGCACAGTGAGCGGGTCTGGACCTATTTCACGCATGATACAGAGCATGGGTATAGTACAGTAAGGTAAAATAATGATTATACCATCATAAGAAGACATCTGTACTGAAAAGTGCCACGAATCCTCGTCGATACGGAACTCTGCTATTAGAACTTGGAGGGGTGCAAAAATAGAAAATGTGAGTGAAACAAAACTTTTCAGACCAATTTCAATTACCAAAGGCAGCAACCCCTCGCCGTAACACTTGTATAATTTCCCAGAAAATAACAGGTGTGACTATAATTCTAAAGTTTAACCAAAATAACCGTCTCACAGTTATGCCGTGTCAAATATCTTAACAAGAATAAGTAACCCAGGTGAAATAAATCAATATCAAATGGTATGTCAGCCGAATTTACCTATTCTGGACTGTACGGCTGAACTAATAGCTCATGAACATGCTAGCATATAAGTCGGGAGTCACCTATAGTGATCTGTTCGACTTATCCATATCTCATCAATCAATGCTAGCATATAAGTCAGGAGACCTGTACAACTTATCCATATCTCATCAATCAAAGCTAGCATATAAGTCGGGATTCACCTATAGTGATCTGTACGACTTATCCATATCTCATCAATCAATGCTAGCATATAAGTTAGGAGTCATCTATAGTGACCTATATGACTTATCCATAGCTCATCAAACATCCCTGCACACGAGTCGGAACCACCCCTAGTGGTCTGTACGTCAGGACTGGGTGTAAATAAGTACGCCCAAGTGCTACGATCACGTGAAGACTGTGCGAATAATCGCGGGTCACCTATGAGTCGGAACCACCTATAGTGGTATGTATGACAGGCTTGTGCACCAACCTTGAGTCCAAGGTGAGCGTAAGGTGCAGGAGGCGAACATCATGTGAAAGACTATGCCCTGGCCACGAGTAGGAGCACTAACACCGAGGTGCATGTTTATGAGCTCTCAATGCATCTCAATATAACATGTACAACTCATGGACAACCAGTACGACTGTGTCGGAGTTGCCTAACACATAAATGTAGTCATGCCATAACTCCATCGATTCAACTAATACCATAAACTCACCTGAACTTACCTGGGTGTCCTGCGTTCACCTTTGCACTTCAAAGCATTCACAATAATTATGTGCAGGTAATATACATATGGATATACCACGATGCAATCTAATACTCAACCATGTCATAGCATTTTCAATTATATACATGTATATAATATGGCATAAAATGCATAAGCTATAACGCCTTACTCCTGAACTATTTATTTTCAGGGATAATCATCGGTGACAAGCCCAACTAGATACTAGTTTAATTAACTATCATTACTTACGTTTCCTTACTTTAATTTCTTGATTCTATACACATTGATTTATAACCAAAATTTAACCACCAACACATAAGGTTAAATCTCACATTTTTACACCAATGTATGGCTGCATCTAACGTCTCAATTATGGCTGTATCTAACATCTCACATTTCCCCAAACAAAGCTATTGTCTCAATTATTTAATCTCACTTCTTGTATGGCTGCATCTAACGTATCGTTAGACTGCCTATGTACCGTAAATAGGGATCAAGCCATTCGTAGTTCACGTATGTACTTCTAAACATTCATATAAATTATATGAAATATTCAATTTATAAACGTTTGTGAAGATGTCAATCTTATATACATACATACATACATATATATATATATATATTTATACACACAATAGAAGGGAAAAGACCCACTCACCTTAGGTCCGCGCTACAACTCCCCAGTACAAATATCGAAACGTCACGAACGATCCTCACCTAGAACAATTATTCAGTCACATCTCAGAACTCTTATCCATAGAACCCGTAATTTACATAAAACACATCTCAAGGACGTTCTAGAATGATTTGAGATCCATTGACCAAAAGTCAACCTTCGGTCAAAGATCAACAGTAGGGTTCACACCCCTACGTAACTCAATCTGGAAGATCCGCATCTCGGATTTCGGATCCAAAACTTCTAAAGATCCACATTATACTTCTAGAACATAATACTAAAGTTTCATTACGATCCAACTGTTGGATCTCCACCAATTGCCGATTCAAGTTGCGGTCAACGTTTTATTTTATGAACTTAGAAATCCAATTTGGGAAGATTTGTACGTCAGATTTCCAATCCGTAAATTTCTAATATCCTCAAATATTACATACTATAATTTATTAAAGTTTGATGACGATCCAACGGTTAGATTGTCAATTCATGTAAGGACCTCGTGGTGACCAACTAGGTGATCAACTACGAATTTTCATTAAAACATTAAAATTTAACTAATCGAATGACAAATATGGAATCGGGTCATCAAAATTAGCCTAAGATGGTCATGTGGAGTCTCGGCCCAAGCGCGCCGCGTATGGTGGTTGGTCGCCATGGTTCTCCGGAAAAATTCAACTATCTCCAAAAATTCTCAAATTTCACAAAAATGAAGATCTTAATGAGAGGAATAACTTTCATACCTGCCACAAAGTCCAAAAGTGGACAGAAGATGGTCAATTTTGCCCACGAAGCCGGCGGGTGCCTAAAGCTTCCCAATGTCAATTCGTCGTCTATGGTGGTCCTTGGTTGGATTTTGCTCCTGGGATGATGGGCTGCAAATTCCAAGAGGTGGCATCGGCCATCGATTTGCCGATTCGCCAAAAAAT